AAAAAAAAAAAAAAAAGGCTGTCGTAGCTCCTGTGTTACTGTGAGTGGGATTCTCTGCCCTATGTCTTGCTCACCTCCAGCTCTGCTGTGGTAGCATCTGCTTATGTCACATGACAACACATGAAACCATCAAAACCATCGGTGTTTATGTTTTCAGAGCTTGTTTAATCAACCAGATGGCCGGCAAACACGCCTGCTATCTGCTGAGAATGCAGGATGGGGGCAGCTCCCCACTTAACACTGACCTAAGGACACGGACACACGACATCACAGCTTCAGCTCCTGTAATCAGCCCAAAACCCCAAGAGCTATTGCCACATCTGGGAGTCTCCTGGAAAAGTACTCCAGGAAGAGGTCAACGCCTGTCTTATGATCCTCCTTGTCACAAGCTACTGGAGAGCCACTTTCACCTTTATACTTCCTGTATACTCTCATCCTAAAAACCCAAGAGGAAACGGAGCACCGGTGAGCCACAGGGACGGTGGCCCTTGCAACACAGGGAGAGGCAACGGCAGAAGTCAAGGCATGGTCTAGACCACCTCCTCTTCGGGTGAAGCTGTAACAGCACGTGGAGTCCTTGCTGTGGTGAGGGGGAAGGAAAACAGCGTCTGCTTGTCCCCTGCCATGGCATGGAAATAAAACCAGCTGACATCCAGAGAGGCGGGCGGTGCAGACCTCCACAATCTCAGGGCAGCTCGTGCTTGCCCCCCAGGAAGAACTGCTCATTCCCTCTGGGGACAATGACACCGAATTTCCAAATGAAGATGGCCAGAGGCAGGCCCCACAGGGGTCAGTGAGGTCTCTCTTCTCTGGGCCAGGGCTGTGGATGGGCCTGCACTGTCTCGTCACTGCACAGTGTGCCCTCCGCTACCGCCGGCCGCACCACTTTCCTTCTGAAGTAGCTGCTTCCAGGCCCATGGAGCAAGGAGGTTCTATCCAGCAAGTCCATGTTCCCATGTGTGGGACATGGTGGTACTGATTTTAAACAGGATGCAGATAACCAGTTTTTTTCTTTCTTTTTTTTTTTTTTGAGACGGAGTCTTGCTCTGTTGCCCAGGCTGGAGTGCAGTGGCGCGATCTCGGCTCACTGCAAGCTCCGCCTCCCAGGTTCACG